ATTTGGTCCCACAGCCACGTGCGGCCTTCTCAGTTCTGGGCATGTGTTGGTCACACAGCCCAGCGCAGACCAATTCTGGTCTGCGTGGCCTGGGGCTGAGTTCTGAGCCCCGGGCTACTTCTGAACAGGGTTACTACAATAGGGCCTGCAGGCCCTCGTTTTCAGGCTTTCAGGCTGAAACGACACAGGGCCTGTAAGCCCTTGTTTTCAGGCTTTTAGGCTGAAAACGACACAGGGCCTGTAGGCCCTTGTTTTCAGGGTTTTAGGTTGAGCACGCTGGTCGGGCCCTGCAGGCCCGTGTGGCTGCGCAGTATGCCACAGCAGAGTTCATATGTCACAAGAGATCGGCATCAAAATCACTGCAGATCCGGACACACTCCACAGCACGGCACAAAAAATAGAATGAGGTCAAACTGCCTGGCGCACAACAAAGTACAAAGGACATCCCCTTGGGATTCCCAAAGAACTATCATGTTCCCACAGGGAAGGTAGGTTAGCACCAGTACAACACAACATATGTCCATGGCACAGTACATAAGAAAGCAAACAATGTCATATTTGCAATAGAGGGTAAGGTCGACAGCATCCCAGGCAAGCAGTGAGTTACAATTGTGATACAAGCATAAATAACATAGACCGCATCCGAGATAGCCGGGCTCAGCTAGGACCAAATATGACCTTCTATAGCTGACATCCTCTGATACATGAATAACATTGCTATGTTTATTCTGTGCTGAGCAAGCATTCATGCAGATTTGGTTGTCAATGTGGTGCAGCAAACCTTTGGGTTGGCTTCATTCTTGATTGGTGTGGCATCAAACAGCTCCATGGGATCTACAGTGTCCCAGTTCTGGTACTTGGGTGGGAAGTCAATGCTGCCACAAAAATTTCAACACCACCATTGCACCATGTAAACATTGGATTTTCCGTGTTCCCAAAAAATCAGCCAGCCAAACACAGTCCCCAGAACAGATAGCCAGAAAACCATCTTTTTCATACATTCTGTAATGACCCGCCATAACACAGACTGAGAACACTGCTGATTTCTGAAGTTCTGCCGATAGAATGGATGCCTTGCCAATTCCCGCATTCTGCTGTGTTTTCTAAGTCTGTATGTGTGCGTGCCTGTCTGACTGCTTGTCGGCATGAGTGTGTGTGTGACCCGCAAGGGTATTTGCTTGTTTGGCAGGCCCGTAGGGCCGGTACTTACCTGTGGCCGTGGCATTGAGGGTTGCAACAGGGAAACACTCAAGTAGCAGAGCCAGGGGCCCGTGGTGCTTAGACCAGCGGAAAAACACTCAAGTAGCAGGTAGGCCGGTACCGCACCCAGTAGCAGTAGATGTGCCGGGTACTCGAGGCCAAGCAGAAGAAGACAAAGTTGGCATTTTTAGAGGCCCAGTAGCGGTAGCAGAGTTCGCAACTGGGATTTTTAGGAATACCTGTACCTGACCTAACCACACCCTCTTTGAAAGCTAACCACCCATACCCACGGTATACCTGGCCTGCTGGACCTTTACCCATCTCCACCTGCGAAAACAAAAAAAAAAAGTATACCCAGACCTACCCTACCTGAACTTCGTCAGCACGTAACTGGCCATACCTATCCATGAACATTTTTTTCCAAAACCACCCGTGGCCACCTAAACCCAAACCGTTTGTTAACCACCCATACCCTACCCTACCCAAGTTTTCTTTACCTGTACCCACCCGTACCTACCCATAATTGTATGCACCCACCCGTAACCATAATTGTATGCCCCTAACTGTTTCTAACTGTCCCTAACCGCCCCTACTTGTCCTTAACCACCCCCAACTGTTCCCAACCCCCTGGACGTCACAGCATTCACGTGGTAATTTTTATTATTATTAATATTATTATTTTATTTTACTGTTTTCGAGATGTGACAGCTGCTGCAGCTACTGCCACAACACCAACAGTTCTTACATCTGGTCACTCTGATGCTGCTATGGATGCATCTGGTGCTACAGCAGCTTATGCTACCTGTATAGCACCTGCAAAAGCAACAACCCTCGGTCTGGTCCAGTTGATGTGGCTCAGTGGTTAGAGCACCGGTTGGAAATGCGCATTGTGGTATGAGGTTGCGGGTTCAAAACTCAATTGCAACCTTGTGCATGGACACCGGCAGGGCGTTAGATTGACACACGGCTGGGCATAGACTCCCTTGGGCTGACGCATGGTACTATGCCAGACACTGCCTGCGCACCACCCAAGGGTTGTTCATGGTGTTGTATGTTGGTTCTGGGTTGCACATGGGTTGCTTGGGGGTGTTGGTCTCGGGTGTTCTGTTGATCTCCCCAGTCTGGCATATCACACGTTCCACTAGTCGTTCACATGGTAGAGTCATACGATTACATGTTTCAAGGTCACGGGTTCGAGCTTGGTTCGGACCTTGGGGGGGGTCCTTGTCCATCTCACCCCGTTCTGTCTTCGATATACACACATGATGCTGCCTATACATCCCGATACATTGATTCGCAAAGCACACACAGCCTTCGGGCATATATATACATAGCTTGCGAACTATACATGGCCTACGTTACATACACAAGTTTCCACACATAGTGCTGTCTGTACATCTTCATACATAGATACACGAAGCATACACAGATACACGAAGCATACACAGCCTTCGGGTATACACATACATTGCGAACTACACAACTATCAGACTGGGGGGTTCTAGTCACTGGGTGGGGTCTAGTATCTGCGGTAGGGACAGGTATGGGCCACCGGAGTTCCTACTGATATTCGGGTAGAACTGTCTAGTAGCTATATATAAGGCTTAGACCCTGGGGTAAGGGTAGGGGTATAAGTCGCTCAGGCCAGTCCGAGTTCCGCCTGGCCTTGGGTAAGCTAGGGGAAGGACGGTAAGACTGCTTCAATGGGTGC